TTGAAACACATTTCTCTTCCGTATAGTTTCGAGTAATTTCTACATTATTTTTAATGATGCATGCCAATCCATTGACTTTTAATGCATTGAATTTTTAACGCGGCATTCGAAGTTTCAACATTATTTAAAATAATTCATTGAAATGCATTGTTAGTCAGTGCTTTATATTGAATTTGAACATTTTTTCACATAATGCATTGAAATGCATTGAAACTTTAAAGTATTATACGAACTTTGAAATTATTTAAAATCATGCACTGAAATGCATTGCCAGTCAATCCATTAGTATAAATTTGAAAATTATTTAAAATAATTCATTGAAATGTGTTGACAGTCGATGCATTATTCCGAATTTGAACATTATTTAAGATAATGAATTGAAATGTATTGAAGTTTTAACGTGTTATCCGAATTTTCAACATTGTTTAAAATAATGCATTGAAATACATTAAATACCAACGTATTCTCAGAAATTTCAGCATTATTGAAATCAATTCATTGAAATGCATTGTCATTCAATACATTATTCGGAATTTGAACATTTTTTAAAATAATGCATTGAAATGCATTGTCATAAATTTCGGCATTATTTGTAAAGAATTCGCAGAAAACGCGAAAAAAATTAATTGCAATGCATTATTTATCCATTATCGGCTACATGGGGACAATCTTATATGTCTATAGCATATATTGAATAGAAAATGATATTATGACTTTGGATTTCATATATGAACAAAAAAATCTACAATGTATCTTACTTGAAAGGCTCTTCTAAATTGTTCTTTGTCTAACGAAAAAAAGTTCATTGATGTGAAATAATACAAAAATAGAGTATCTGATTAAATATTATATTCTACTAAAGGCACTCTATGTTAATGATAGTTCTCTTATCACAAAGTTTTCTTCTTCACGCATTGTATGTTATTTATTTCAAATGATTACATATAAATGTTACAATCAAGTCTTTTTTTTTTAATTTTGTTTGATAATGGTCCTAGTCCTTGGAATGTGCATCATATATTTTAATTCACTATTTTCTCATAGATAAATGATTTAGACCAATATGACTTCCGACGAAATTGCTAACTTACTGGAAATTAGATAAATATTATCTGGACTGATTTAATCAGAAACATACTGATTGATAGGTAATGTTCATCGTGTGCCGATGTGCTTGGTCCTAGATTAATTGGATATACATGCGAATATAGTTACATTTAACTATAAAAATGAAATAATGAAAATAAATAGACAAATACCATCAGTAGTATATCACATAGACAATTAATAAACTTAATGTTGAAAATGGAAAATATACATAAAAGCAATGTTTTTACGAGTTTAATCTTGTTTGTAGCATAATATATGTATTATGTTTTTGTTTTTATAAATGCAAATAATGCTAATATAGTTAAATAACATAACGAATTTTTTATAATTATAGTGCGGCTATTTGTACTTAGAACGATGCATCACATTACTCATTCAGTGTAACTTTTATTAATCATCATCATATGTACATTCAAATCGATTCGTCAATCGTTAACTATTAACCCTTTGACTACGGAACTACTTTTGAAAGAAAAAGTGAAAATTTTAGAAAGTCAAAAGCAATGTTGACTTTTTTTTGATATCATGAAATACATTTCGGATGTGAGTATGGGTGTGGGTGTATTTGTTCTCTTCATTCACTACCACACTCACACCCGCACCGAATGTTTCGATATATCTTGTTCAATTTAAACGGCATGCACTTGCTTGTAAATGCACAAAATCATCATTATAAGTCACGAGCGTAGTGATGCCTTCCAATGAAGTAGCTAGATAGATATATGAGTGATTCATCATTCAAGGATAACTCTGGTACAATGAACATAAGGATCTTAGTGTTGTGGATTAATAAAACTCCTTTGATTGTTGTACAGAGTCAGCAATTGCGTATAGTGAGCAAAATATAAATACATATGTACTTCAAAGTGAGAGAACGGCTTTAACCAACGAGAAGCACTAATGTGACACATAATACATATAACAAATCGATATTCTCGCCTGAATAATGGCCAATTATTTTTTTTTTAGTTTATTAAATAGCTGATTTTGTCATAATAGGCCATCGATCGATCGATCATGGCTTATCGTGATGACGTCATCATCCATACTCGAGATCTTGTCTCTGATTGAATAGAATTATGTACATACACAAAGGCACCATCGTATAAAATTTATTCGGCCCTTTTAGTGCAAAAGGAATGAAGAAAGGACGTTCATTGACAGTGAATTATAGAAACTTCTACATATTCTTCTTTCAATGGAATTAAATGTAAAACCTTTGTCAAATATTCACAGCATACTATGAGACAATTCAATTCGAATCAATGGTTTCAGAATATGATCAATGAAATGAAAAATAGCATATCAATGTAAAAAATTCTTTATAACAACAAGTCATATATTGAAAGATATAAAATTCGTCTATATATAAAGGAAAACAAGCTGGATCTTATGCTGGGTGTCATTATTCAAACTAATTTTGAGTAAATTTCAAATCCTATTTTGATATATTTTAGTTAAAAGCCTGATTAAAATAATTCATTTTAGCAATATCAATCTTTGTTAATGAACATTATTGATGTTCAATTGTCCTAGCTTTATTAAGTGAAAATAATCAAACATTTATTGTTAGAAAGTAAAGATAAATACATTATTTATTTTTCAAAATCATAGAATTTATTTATCTTATCCATCATTGTTTTCTAATAATGTATGCTGTCTTTATTTTTACGGAACAATAACAATAAACAAATAAATATCTCGAACAAACATTAATTAAAAATCTTTGCACGATTTTTTTCCAATTCTTAAAAATTAATTAATTTTTTTCCTCAAATAAAACCTAGTTAATGATATTTTTTAATTTGTATGAAATTGACTTTATCTGAGAAACATTAATTTATTTCTCCTACTCAAATGTACATTACCATATCTTTGAAGTTTCAGAAAGACTATTTCTTTTTCATTTTCATTTTCTTTTATTGTACTATATTTGATTTTCGCCGCACAAAGAAAGGTAAGGATATTTAAATAAAAAAAAAATAATAATAATAATAAAATTTTATTTACCTGATTGTTAACACTATTAGTAAAATTTTATGTTTCTAAACGAAGTCTACTGTATTTATAATATATTGCTGTGCTACATTCTTTTATATCAACTAGATAAGTTCCTGTATAGAATTAAAGGCTTTTTGTGTTGATTTCGTAGTCATTGCTTGATCACTTTTTTCATGAACAAGTCTGATGTTCAACAATGATAGAATTGTTTTCTCCTACAAACATATTTCTAAACTCACTTCCAAAAAAAAAGCCATTTTCTGGCTTCATCAATAATAAACATGAAGCATTATAACTATATAATAATTCACGAATAGAATCACCAATACGAATCAATTTTCGAATGTCATTTGGTGTTTTCTTCTGATGCAAACTGATCCAAAAACCCACACACAAGCAATCAATTATAAAAATGATTAATGATAAAAGGAAACTCATCCGTAAGGAAATATTCTTTATCTGATCGAATCAATTGACAAGCTGATACTATCAACTCATGATCGAGTATCGATCCACTTGTCGAACAAAGAAAAAATAAAACCAAAACATCTCGTATATCAAATATAAATATTTACATCGTCACTATGATATTAAAATCGGCGTGATCAGTCATATCTATTGGTCTTGATATTCTTGTTGTTGTCGCATGAAAATCAATTATCAAACGATGATCATTTATCAATGTATATTTGACAGACACATGAAGGTTGCTGAGCAAATCATCTTCATCTTTAAAATAAATAATATTGTTTTTTTGTTAGACAATACCATATAATTGAAAGCAAGCATTTGTTTTTTTTGTTCGATTTATTACTCGATCTATGGTGCAACCAAAATAATATTTATCATTTATATATTCTAAAAATACAATATCGATCTTGATAATGATGTAATCTAGTTGTCCAATTGATTGAATTGTAATACTATAATCAGTAAGTACAACTTCAAAATCATCTAATATAGAAAAAGTATATCTAGATAAAAATAATATGTATATATATTTTTGTCTATATCTAATAATGATTTAAACATGAAATAAACTTTCAGTTAATGTCATTTTAACCATCTTTTTTTCTATTTTCGAATAATAAAAAAATTGGTTATCTAAAATGGTAGAAAAAAAGTTTAACAACAACGTATTTTTTATTGTTCTATAATATTAAGCAATTAGCTCAATTCCAGATAGTGATTTTATTATCCAATGAAGTTTTCAATCTCTAGTGCATTTTATAGCAAAATTTCGTAGATGAACTATGACGACAAGATTTCTATTAAATCAGACACAGTAGTTTCCAGGCCACAGAAGATTATTTTTTAACAAGATCATTTTACAGAGCATAAAATGAGCAATCGCTGCATTTTCTACGACCTTCTCTACGATTTTTGTGATATTTTCAACATTTTCATGGAAGGTCGTAGAAAAAATGTGGCGAAGTCTCATTTTGTGCTATTTAAAATGACATTATTAAAAACTAATCTTCTGAAACCCCAAAACTACCGTGTTCGGTTTAGAAACCTTGTTATCATAGTTCACCTATGAAATCTTAATAAAAGAAAACTCCATTGACTATTAAAATCACTATCGACATTTAAGCTAATTACTAAACATTATAGGAAAAAAAAATAATTATAAAGTATATTATTATTAAACTTTTTTTTAATCACATTATGTGTAAAATAAATTATCAACGACTACTAACGATCTCTATCGTAAATTTTTATATTATCCAATAGTACATTAGACAAACGATCCATTTGTTTGTTTTGTTTATTTATCATGTCTATTTTTTTTGTTCCATGATAGTGTTTACGATAGTAATCATGAGAGTTTTTCATTTCATTCTAGATTTTATTTGAAACTTTTTCTCGTTTTTTTTTTGTACGTATCTATGGCATTCAAAGGAACATGGCATCGTGGTGATGGTGGTGGTGGTGGTGGTGGTGGTGCTTCTGGCGATCGTCGTTATACATCATCAACAGATTCGTTTTCATCATTTGTTATACCTACACAAGGTGTACCTGGAAATCAAATAGGTTTAGCACCCATGAATTATCAAACAAATCCTAATGCAATGTATTCGGTAATGAATGCAGTAAGAAACAATAAATAAATTAAAGTATATTGTATTAACATTTATTTTATGTTTTTTAAGGGTTCATCAATGATGCCATCGACTAATTATTCATCGGCAACAAAAAGTTTACCATATACCGGTACTGTATCAAATGTGTTTCGAGATTTTGGTGTTATTGATAATGAAATTTCATTCAAACTAACGTAAAAATAGAAAAAAAAATTTTTTTTTCTTAAATAATTTGTTTTATAACTTCAAATTTTAGTACGGTATCTGGTCCATTACCACGTGTTGGTGATCGTGTTATTTGTCAAATGAAACCAGCTGAAGGTTTTGGTACTCAAACACCTTATAAATATTATGGATTCGATGTTCGATCGGTTCAAACACCGACTGATACACGACGACCTTGTAATAAATTAAATTATTTTATTTTATTTCAATTCATTCGTTCGTTTTTTTTTGTAATTTAGCACGACCAACAGGAGGACCACAACAAATGTCACGTAATACTGATTCATATATAAATCGTAATCAAAATCGAAATCAATCATCAAATGTCAAACGACCATTACCAACAAATAATAATATTGATCATCATCATCATCAATATAATAATAATCAAAATCGTGATCGACATGGACCAATTAATAGTACTTCAATTAATGATCGACGTCGTTCAAGTCCAACAAGACGTAGTCGTTCACGTACAAATAAAATGATGACACCTAAACGTAGTTCTCGTGCACCACCACCAAAATATACTTGTACATTACCAAAAGCATCACTTGATTGGTAAAATTAAATTTTTTTTTTTAAATAAATTTCTTGAAGAAAAAAAAAAACTTTGTCTTTTTTTTAGTTCGGAATTAAATGTTACTCAAATACGTTCACGTTATACACGTTTACATATTCCATCGGATTTTTATCATACATCTTATATATGGCATCAATCAATACCACTTGATCATCCATTAAAATTTATAACACCATGTTCATTTCATATATTTAATAAAAATGTTCCGCGTTTATTTAATGATAATGTATCAATTATTGATCCACCCGATGTAGATTATACATGGAATGTTCGAGTATGTATTTATTGAATTTAATGAGTATTAACAAAATCTCAAATTGATACTAATTTTGAAATCTATATTTGAAAACTTTTAAAAAAAAATTCATTATCATTCCAAAAATAGCTAAAACATAATCAGGAATTTACTATCTTAAAGTTGAAAGGAAAAATTTCAATTAATAAGACATACTTTATTTTTGGGTATGAAAAGTTCTCCTACTTTTTGCTTATTTTTTACAGCTATATTATTACTCTAGATAAAAACCGGATTTTGAAACATCATTTGTCTTTCTCTAACTGAAAGTGAAATAAAAATAGACAGAAAATATTGTTGCGAGATGAATCAAATTGAGAAAGGTACATCCTCGTGTCAGATCGTCTTTTGTGGAAGGAACCAGATCACAGTGGATGTCATTTTCTCTAGTTTCAACCTACGGGAGAGTGAGGATGATCATAAGAGTACGTCATTGGATGAAATGAATAGTCACTGTCACCGTAACATGGAAAATACTAATATTAGCGAAATGACCTTTCTTATTTTTTATGTCAAACATCTACCTTTTTCTCATGACGGTTTTCAATTATACATACGAAGTAAATCACTGATTTCTACTTTATGAAAGATTGAGTAACAATTTGAGATTGGCTACAGTCTCATTGAAAATTTTGTTTTTTTTCTAAAAATGATTTCTTTTAAGGTAATGTTAATGTCATCACCAGATATACAAACATTAATATCTCGATCATGTTTAATTAATAATGAACATGGAAAAACATCAGTAATTAATCCAGATGATTTAGAACATCCAACAAAATTAATTAAATTTCTTGTTGGTGTTCGTTATCAAAATGAATATTTTCCATTAGGTGGTCCATGGTCTCAATCACTTGATGGTTCAAATCCTGAAAATGATCCTCAAGTATTAATACGTACAGCTATTCGTTGTGTTCAAGCACAAACTGGTATTGATCTAAGCAAATGTATTCAATGGTATGTAAATAGTCAAAGAAGATTTTTAATATTTATATATAATAAATTTTTCTTTTTTGTATCTTATTCTATTATTATTATTATTATTATTATTATTATTATTATTCCACGTTATCTTCGATGAGGAATAATATATATATATATATATCAAGATTAGTCTTTTTTTTTTAAATTTCTTTTTTTTTCTATGTGGAAAATTTCATTGTTGATAATATCTATCATTGATTATGATCATCAAAATGTGTACCTCATCCTAGGTGCCGTTACCTGGAGGTTCGCTATCATCGTCCGGAAGAAATACACAAGGGCCGTCTGATTGAGAGTCGTGTTGAAAATATCATCGTTTTCCTGCCGGATATTGCTGCTGCCTGCATGCCATCAAGCCTCGATTGGGAAGAAACAATATCAATGTACAAACAAGCATGTGATGAAGAAATTGCTGAAGAACTCAATGAAGACAATATACCCGTACATATATATTCGTTGATCTCTTTTCTTTTCCTTCTTTTTTTTCTTTCCTTGCGTTCAAGACAACAATTTCAAATTCTAGATCTATCTTTCTGCCCTTTTCCTTTTTTTTTTCAAATTTATTTTTATTTTGAATAAAGCATGTTTTTTTTTTATATCGTATTTTAGGATCATGATATTGAAACACGTAGTGCAGCTCATCATTCATCAATTGATATTGAAAATCTTCGTGTATGATTTTAATTTTTATATTTTATTTTGTTTTTATTTGTTGATATTTTCTAGGTTATTGATCTTAAAGCTGAATTAAAAGCACGTGGACAACATGTTACTGGTTTAAAAAGTGACTTAAAAAAACGTTTAGCAAAAATTATTCAACAAGAAAAAGTAAGAATTTTAGAATGCTCATAATTCGAAATTTTTTTTCTTATGATTGGATAGAGCTACCTTGAAAAAATATTGTATTTGATATATGCTAACGATATTTTTGTAGTGTTTAAAAAAAAAGGCAGCAAAGTCTATAAAAATGAGAAAATCAGTTTTGACTATCAGAACTTCAGTTTCAAATAAAACGAATATCATATTCAGAATCAACACAACAATCTGCATGGAGTAGTATAATCAGTATTTAGTACAAATTTTTGTCAAATTTCGACTTTATGAGGGAACCTCTACAGGTATTAAATCTCTTTGCAACTGAGATGATATTCATTTGATGAGTAATAGAAAAGTTACAATTTGCCTAACAGACAAACCTCACTGAAAACTTTGTTTGTGCAAAGTTTGAAGTCGAATGTCGATTTTTCATGTAATCTAAGGGGACAAACAATCCAGTAAAATTTCGATATCTCAAGAACGAAAGTCCAGAAAACCAAATTATTCTAGACTTTTCTATTACTCGTCCAATGAACATCATCTCGATCGAGAAGCGATTTAACATCTGGAGTGGCTCCAGATTTTCGAAAAACTCGTATTTTTGAATTTAGATCTGAAACTTTGCGCATGTAGAGAACTCGACTAGACTAGCTTCCTTAAAAAAAAGTCTCTTCAAGATATAAGATTTGCAAGATCTTGATCATTTTCGATGGATAAGGTATACAACATGCATTTTTTGAAAGCTTCATATCTCGAAGAGGCTTTGTTCAAAACTTGTCAATTTTTTATGGAAGCAAGTCTAATTGAGTTCTCTATATGTGCAAAGTTTCAGATCAAAATACGAGTTTATCGAAAATCTAGAGGCCATAGAAAATAGACATAATAAAAATTCAACAGTTCAGTAAAATCTTAATAGGAGCCAAAACCTTTTAAGGAAACACGATCTAAGAGGAGTGTTGAAATATAGGGATAAATATTTTGAATTCTCCTCCCCCACAGACTGTGACAGATCTAACCATGAAAACATCATCACAGATGTTGTTGATATACGATGACAGGTCATATATCAACTATATCTCGTTATAATATGTGAACTACTTCCTTATTTTATTGCTTTAGAAGATTAAGCAAAATAATGGTAAAGTAATGTAATCTCAAAATAGATAGAATAAAATAATCTTTCTATCTTTAATAACAGTAGCAACATCTTATTTGCCATTGTAACCCCACAAAGATTGCGATACCAGCATTTTAATCTAATTTGCACTAGAAAAATATCGTTTGAATATGGCAAAAATATCATTTTTATATGTATCTCAATAAACTTTATCCAATTACGACACAAAAAAAAAATTTCAAATTACCAATGCCTTAATTTAAAAGAAATCCTTTCTCACAATAATCTATTATATATTTTATTTAGATTGATGAAGAAAAACCAGAATCATCTACGAATAATAATGATGAACAACAACAACAACAACAACAACCTTCAACAACTCCAAATGAAACTGGATCAAATTCAACTAAAATTGAAACAAAAGAACATACACAAGTTGATATTGATAAATTACGTAAAGAAATTGAAGCTAAATATCAACTTCCATCACATCGTTCAATACTTGTTCATCCAACAATAGCTAAAGGAGATAAATTTGATTGTCGTATTGTATCTCTCCATTATTTACTTAATTATGCAAATAAAGATACGATCAAAGAAAAATGCTTTGAAGTATTAAATAATATAATTAAAAATTTTTTTATTTTTCATTTAAATGAAATTTTCTTTTTTTTTTACTTTAGTTGTATCTTTTCTCTGAAGCTTTTAATGAAATGCTTATGCGTGATTATTCTTATCATATTTATCGATCATTATATAGTTGTTTAGAAGTAAAAGATACAAATATTGAAACTGAAACATCAACTATTGAACATAAGAATGATCAACAAGAACAAAATGAATTAAAAATTGATAATAAAGAAGAACAAATTGAATCAATGATAACAAGTAATGATGATGTTATTCTTCCTGGTCTTGATTTAAATATAGAAGAAAATGAAAAAAAACGTAAACGATCATTAAGTCAAGTAAATCAAATTATTTTTCTTTGAAAAAAACAAAAACTATTGTTTTTTTTTTCTACAATTTATTATATATTTAGGAAGATTCATCATCTCAACGAAAAAAATCAACACAAGAAGAAACAATTGAAAAAAGTCCAAACGATGAACAAAAATCAACATTAACTATTGCACAAACTCATCAACGTACAATTTATCCTGAATTATTACTTGCATTCACATTTTTTGATCGTAATCGTTGTGGTTATTTAACCGAAAAAGATCTTGAAGAAATTCTTTTACTATCAGGCTTATCATTAACAAAAAATGAAGTAAATTTAAAAAAAGAAAACAAAACAATTTTATTATTTTTTATCCGAATTTTTTTTTAAGGCTAAAATGTTAGTTAGTCGTATAGCTCATAATGAAAAAGTTCAATATCAGCAATTAACTGATAAAACTTTACCAATTGATGATCATAATACAAATCATATTGAAACAAATGAAATCGATATTGATCCACTTGCACCAAAAGGTAAACTAATTTAAAAAACTTGTCAACACAGTCCCTTTAGAGCTAAAACTGAGAACGCACATATGCGTTCTTTATAGATATCGGCAAGGTGATCTCGGTCCCGAAACCAAAGGTTCATTTGAGCAGGACCAGGGTCAAATTTTTTTTTCCGACTGAGGCTGGAACCGAATATCTTAATATCTGGAATATAATTATTTATCTGTGTAAAGCTATTTAGAACAATCACAAATGTATTATAGCTATCTAAATTTCAAGAACAACTTTGGAGTGTTCTAAACTTGCCTAAGCCTTGTTTTTAATGCAGTACAGTATCTTTTCCAGTTGTTAGGAAGAATGTATTTATTGACCTCGGAACATCCTTTTTACTAAGACTCAAAGCAGGATAGATGAAACTGAAAGATTTCGACTTAAAATTTACATTCATTATTTTCCTTGGAAAAATTATGTGTGAGTTTCTTAAAACCATATATTTTGTTAAAAATTTTCTTTTAATAGGTAATTTACTTCTTTTACCACAACAGATGTCTATATTTGGTTTACGTTCATCAATAACAAATAATGGAAATCAATTAATAACTTCCGTTGATAATCAACGAGCAATGAAACAATTAGAATTATCGAATAAAATTCAAACAGGACTTGAATTAAAAATTGATACATTAAAAAAAGAAATTCGTAAGTTGAAATAAAAATTATATTTACTTATTTTACTAATAATTTCTATGAAAAAATTTCCATTCATAATAATCTAACTATATCAAAAGAAAAATTTTTTATTTTAAACAATCAAACGTTTTTTTGACTTCATTCGAACGACTTACAAAATTGATTACGGTTCACAAGTTTATAGTTAGTTTTCTAGTCGGATCAATAGACATAAAAGAAAAACATAAATATCAATTATGCATATATTGAAAAAACAAGGAAACCTCTTCAATTGATATCTACTGTTTCAGCTCCTCTTGTGCTCATAATTCGATCTCATAGTATAAATATCAAGAGATTTGTTACTGGTAAAAAATTTCACGTCCAAACTTTTTATGGTGGTTTTCGTAAATATGATGAAAATTCACTGTAATGATCATAATTTCGTAAAAAACGGATCTAATGACATAAATCATTTTAGAATTTCCATCTACACTATAAGTCCTACTTATGAGCTCAAATAGAAGGTGTTAATTAGCAAAGTTTTTTCATCAGACATGCAAACAAAATTTTCATTTGTCAAATCTCTTTGAAATTTAATAAATTTGATTTAATTTAGATAATTTAACTGATGAATTACATACAACACAAAAAAGTAACCGTTCTTATAGTGATCAATTAACTGATACAAAAAAACGTCTACGAGATACTCAACATGATCTTAAAGAACTTGAAGATAAATATAAACGTTATTCTGATGCACTTTATCGTGTTCGAAGTGAATCTCGTTCAACATTTGATCACTTAACACATGTACTTGGTATTAAAGAAAAACAACCATCACAAGGACG